TGCCGCTTGACTGCAGAGTCGAGTGGCCGCAATGCAGATAAAGATCGCATCAAAACGATGTGGGCTGTGCCGGAGTTAAGCCGCACAGCTACTGGGCCATGCCGTATCCTGTGTTCCACTCATTTGTACGGAAGTGTCAATGTGTAAAAAAGGTGTTGGGAAAATGCACACACACACGCAGAGAGTAAGAAAGACAAACACACTCACACGCACGCAGGCACACACAGGAGGGGGTGCGAGCGCCGGCGCAGCGCGTTGTCACGTGTGTACAGTTAGTTGTTTGTTCTTTCCCAGCCGGAATTCTCTATCCATCCATCTCTATCTGCCATCCAGCGTGAGAGCGTGAGCGCTAGAGAAATGAGGCGCGCACATGTTTAGCGCCGAAACGCCCGCGCGTTTCACCCATACAAAAAGAAAAGAAACAACAGATCCGACGTAAAATGTCTCGAACCGAGGATAACCTCGAGCCTAGGTACCCTCGCGCGCAGTCACTCAAAATGACTTAGCGATTTTGGTAAATTAAATGTAGCCCTTTCCTATAGTATTCCTATAGATGTATGTGAATGTACATATGTAAGTATGCACAGATGGCATGCATTTATATAGATACTAGTATTTGCGCTGTGCGCGCACAGTGCGTGCCAAAAGTAAATGCCAACTGCTGCTCGCGATTGTTATGAGATAGTAAAATCATTGTTATCTCCAGATCTTACGTGATCGCCTAAAGATCACTTTTATAGACATTACTCATCAAGAAACTATTTTTATGTACTCTTATCGATATATTCATTTTTATATAATTAGTTTCTTATTGAGTTTATGGTTTATTAATGACTAATTGAGTTTAAAGCCTATTTCATTGTAATATTATAAGAACTGAAATATCTCGTAAATCTCAACAGTTTGTAGAAGTTGCTAAGCCCTTTAGAGGCATTCGTAGTTGTTTTCTTATAATTTAAATTTTTCTTATCTTACATTATCTTACATATTGTAAAAAAATAAGTTTATATGTATATACAATATTACTTCTTGTTAATCCATCGTAATGGTAGATATTTATATATGTATACAATATATGCAAATATGCATATTGTTGGTACTCGCCGTTGCTTGAGCTGTACGCATAGAGTTGGCTCACACTGTAGATTCATTCACAGCAAAGCTGAGAAGGCAGGAAACATGCGCAGCTTCACACGCATGAGGGGTATTCACTGTTGAGCTCGTGCTGTCCTGCCGAACGGATGTTGTGCATGTGTTGTGCCCAAGTCACAAGTCAAGAGTCGGGCACGTGAAGGCGCATACATGCTTCCAACGACAACAGCAACAACAACAATAAAACTTAAGTTTATTTTTAACATAATTTTTATTGCGGCTGCTGCACGCGACGAGCAAGAAAACACCGATCGATGGATCGATTTGGCATTCAAGGCGCGTTGCGGCTCACTCACAGACAATTCGAAGGGTTTTCAATTTCTATTCAGTATCTCTCTCTGTCTCTCGCGCTCTCTATCTAGTTCGCTGTCTCAGCTACCTTGGAGTTCCAGTTAAATTGATTTTCCTCATGGCTTCGTCTTGAATTTCCCCTAAATATGTTTACGTTCCTCTGCGGTGAGCCATGTGTGCGGAAAACGTTTCGTTTCTGGAATGCATTGTGTGGCATCTTCACGCTTCGATTTCCATGCACGACCTTGCGGCCCATTTCTGGCTATTGGCCATTTTTAATTGAGACATTGCCCAGATTCCATTAAAAAAAAAAACAAAAACAATTGAAGCAAATTCGTTTTTTTTTCTATTTTTTGTTGTTTAAATTTGGTTTTACATTGTTTTTTGGCGCCTTTACTCAGCGATCTTGCCGCATTGTTTTTTATTCATGATGCGTTTTATTCGTTCTTTACACCCTGTACCCATTATACCTATTAAATGTGCTCGAACGAAGGGTGTGACGTCGTTTGCCGTGGGCAGAATGACATTTAGTTAAGTGCGAGCTCTTAGTTCCTAATTGATAGCAATCAATATTGATATTGATCTTAGTGATCAGTTCTTTAATATTATTATAGTATTTGGATAAACTAGCTTATTAATTACAGGGTATTTTCTAGGCTCGCACTCTCTGCTCTTTATATGTAAATTCTTCTTTTTGTATTGCCCATTTTTAATTGAAGCGCATTGATTTTGATTACTCTTGTGTACCCCGCTCTATAGGGTCCATTGTGTATTCATCTAGTTGTCTGTGAGTGTGAGCTCGTGTGTGTGATTTGCAATTGTATGAGTTCTGGTTTTGGTTCATTGCACACACACAGACAATGCTGACGCGTGCTGCTCTTGATTCGAAAATTGCGCCAGCCACGTTCCCCATAGCCATTGACGATCATAATATCTGGTATATAGGCTAGATTCTATATCAATCTATCTATGTCGATTATATATCGTTTTAATTAGACAAACTGCACTACATTGAAATTGAAATCGTACTCTCTAAAACAGCTTCTTATTGCCGCTTTCGCAGAGATGAAACTTTGGCTTATATCAACTTTATGAATACGACGAGTGACTCTTTTCGTATAGTATTTTATTTATTTGAGAGATAGAAGTCAATAACCCCTTGAGTGATACACAATCTGCTGCATTATTCATAATATGATTTGGGCATTGGGCATTCCAGGAATGGAATTGCGAATTTGCCAAAATAATGAATGAATAAGCATATATCTACAGTATATATATGTATGTATATATTTATGTGTATATATAATTTGTAAACTAAGATCTTCAACTTTTGTACAAATGACGCACTCAATGTGATTCATTTGGACATCTTAGAGTTTCGTGAACAATTGTCTAGATGCTCATTCATACATGAAATATGAACAGAAATTTAGATTGCTTTGGCGTAGCGAAGGGAAATTTAATTAAACCTGTTCACTCTTGGCGCCGCGCTATATGCGATACATTGTTATTAATTATATATATGTATATGTACATATATATTATAGCTACGCCAAGCATGATCAAATGCTGTTTCTATTGCCATGATGTCAGAGCCTCTACAGCTATAGATTGTGTACAGACTGTAAAGCTGAAAAGCAACTAGTTTGTTTGCCTGCTTTTACTTGAGTTAAACAAAATGTTTAAGGCGACTTTGAATAGTGAATAACTAAGTCTGAAGGCTGAGTTCATTTGTAAAAGATACCATGTAATATACATATGTATATCTTTTTATAAGAAACATTTAAAATGTCTGAACGGAATGTGAACAAAGTTTTCCTAAATGATCATGCTAGATCAAGATTTATGTTAGATTTTCACTTAAAGACTCATAAAGAAATGCATAAACTTGAACTATGAATTCTTGTGGTTGAATCAATTAAAACGAATTAAAAAGAATAGAGAGGGAGAGAAGATCGAAATGTGGTGGCCAGAGTCTTCAGCTGCGTGGCTGGGCCAAAGGTGGTTGTCCAACAGCGGCGCATTGGCCATTGTCAGCGCGCACCCTCGCCGGTGAGGAGTTCGCCCTAAGAGTAGTACATCATGGCACGCACATTGACAGCTGTCATTAGCATTCATTGCGGAAGCGCGGCAAAAACCCATTGAAGGGCCTCTCTACTAGCTGCTGGCTGCTGCTGCTGGCTGCCGACTGCCGACTGCTGCTGCTGCTGGGGGAGTGCGGTAAATGGGCATTCATTAAAATTGAAAATAATAAAACTGAAAACTGAAAATAAATATCAGCAATGGCACAACTGCCGGCCGCAACGGCAAATCAAACACTTGAGAGTTTATTAAAAACGACCCGACGCGGCCCGGCCTGCCCCGCCCCGCCTTGGGTTGCGCCCATATGCAACAATTTGACGTTTGACTAGAACTGAAATCTGCACAGATGCGTCTCATATGAGGGCAGGGCGAGCCAAGGCGCCCATAAGTAAATGAATGAATGAATGAATGAGTAAGTGAGTGAGTGAGTGAATGTCGTAGCACTCAAAGTGCATGAAATGTGAATAAAGCCTGCAAATGGATTGGAAATGAGGCACTTAAGTGTTGCTATAGGTCAGCTAGCTTTGATCCCTCAGCCATTCGGCAAATAACCAAGCTGATCGCATAACAATGAATACCCTTTTGTATACATACATAACTATATGTTTGATGATGTATATTTGTTGAATTGACAATGAAATTTGATATCTGAGATAGCTGTATCTCTGTAAATTTGTTTATATAATATACGAAATCCATTTAGAATAGTGAACTGATGAGTCAAATAATATTTATTCACTAGCAAATAAAGCTTCTTATACAACAGTTGGATATATTGTAATATGTATACTCAATATGAAAATCTATAGTAATTCTATCTAGGACTCTTATAGATAGATTGAATAATGTAATTGAATAGAGTCTGGAACTTCTTTATATAGTAGTCAGATATATTAATCGAATTCTGAAATGTGATTCCCACTACATATCCTGAATTTATATTTAAATTCATCTTAGTTAATTCTCTTATTTTTCTATGCAATTTTTGTGTTCCTTCAGGAAGTGAAATGAGCATATATATTGCTGTCTATCTTGTTTGTTTCGTATTCTCAGTTAACAAAGTGTAAATATGTGTTAGATAGGTACATCACATTTGCATATAAGATAGTTTCTCCATCAGACAGTTCTAGAAAAATAGGTAAATTATATTAAAAAAAAAAAA